GATCATGCTGTGCAAACAGACACTTAATCAGATGGAAGAGAAGACTGCTTGCCCTCTTTACAAGGTGGAGGGGGCTGCAGCCACCGTAAATAACATCAACTGAATGTCTGCAGTGACCTCACTTCTAACAGAGAAGTCCTGGAGATCTTTCGGTCCAGCTTCATGAAACTGAGACAGCTAGCCTGGTAACTCTGAGAAAAACTGCCATGTGCTTTGGGTGCACCTTTTGGGCTCTGTCCATCCTGGGTCCTGCCTAAGGGAATGAAACAACCTTCCTCTGCCCGACCAGAACTCTCAAATAGTACCTTGATTTGCTTGTGGCAATTCACTGGAATTGTAGTCACATGCCCTGTCCATTCCAACATAGTTCTTCCTCCAGCTAAGACCAATAGCTGTGGGAAGGAATAGCAGCTGAGGGCCACTCCCTTTTGAAACATTTTCCATCCACTCGCAAACCCCCTACATCTGTGCCTTGATCACACTCCTGGAACCTGGTTTTCCTTGTGGCAATTAAGTCCGTTGATCTCCTGATTCTATTTTCAATATCCTCCTCTGCCCCAACACCTAGGATAGTGCTTCCATCCATGCAAACAATAGTTATCTACCAAAGTTCCTCGTTTCCTACTCATTTATGCTCAGAAATATGACTCACGGAAGGAGTACAAAACTAATTGGGAAAAAATGGAAAAAATCCAATTAGGCATGAGAAAATAAAGGAGTGAAGCCATGTAAGCTAATAAGAGAAAAAACAGCTATGATGATGAGACTGAATTGAAAGCATAGATAGAGTGGGGGGCGACACACCCAGGAAGTGATCAAAAAAGGCAAGGAACTTAGGTGGAGTTTAACATGAACATGAGTCATTAACAAATGGAGCAACTGGTTTTGTTTTGTGAGATGAAAGTTCCAACCAGTTTAGTCCACCAATTGATTTTGTTTTGTTTCGGTTTTCCTCCCCATAGAATTACTTGGTTGTTAGATTCCTCTTTCCTCATTAAATTGCCTGATTTAATTTAAAGATATAATGAATCCCTCTTAAAGACAGATGGGGCAGAGCAGAGAATTGTCCTGGAAACATGACGGAATTTTCACAGGTTGGGTGGCAGATGGACTGTCATCAGCGTAAACAGAGAGGAGAAGGTTAACAAGGAACATCTGGTTCATCTGTAACTCCAGTTCATCTGTAAACTGATGAACCAGAGTGTTCCCTGGAATGAAAGACTCCTTATCCTGGGATTACACCTTTCTGTGAGAATTAAGCTACCCATTGAGTCTGATTACACAAGAAACAGAAAATAAAGAAACAGAGAGTAGACAGAGAAGGAGAATCCAGGGAACCAAGTCTTCCCAGCCTGATGGCCAACTCCTGCTTCCAATAGCTGCTTCCTTCTGCAGACGTGTTTTGCCACTGGTCTCCCCAGTGCCATCTTGGGTCCCTCGGTAGCCTGATGTGGAGGTCATACAGGGTCCCTCCCAAGGCCAGGAAAGGCCAACATTTACTGAGATACTTTACATACAGCCTACAAATCCTTATACATGAGGAAACAGAAGGTGACAGAAGTTCAGTCATTTCCCCAAGTTCTGCTCAGTGGTGGAGTTGTGCTTTGAGGTCATCTGAAGCCCAAGCCTACACTGCTTCCACTGAGCCATGCTGTCTCGTTCACAAGATAACATGTTTTTCCCCCCAAACCTTATTCAGACTGTGTAGTTGCATTAGGAAAACAAGCCTACCAAATAATGCAGGGTCACATTGTACTAAGACGTCCTTTGGCTTGTACTTTGAGAGAGAACTCAGGTTTGCTGACTTTTCCCTGGATCATTTTCTGAGTTTTAAGGCAAACATCTTGAAGGGTATTTCATGTAGACCCTATGTCTCCTTCAAAAGTCATTCCACAACCTTTGTTGAGTACCTACTAAGACCAGTTTCCATGTGAAGTATCTGGAGATGATAAGACCACATCCCTGCCTATCGGATGTTCAAGATCAAGTGAAGGAGACAGTCATGGGCAGTGAGCTATATATAACCTGATGCATGCAGTGGTATAGGCTGAGCACCAGAGCTGAGAAAGAGCCTCATACCTTCAACAACTATTTACTGGGTGCCTACTATGCCTCTCTATTTCTCTCTCCTCTCTGTCTTGTGCATGCCTAAGCATGTTATTTCCAAGAATTGGATATGGGGGTACAGTGGGTACCTGCTGTCTTTTCCTGTCCCCCTTTTCCCATTGTTTTGCTGGCACCACACCATTTTTTCTTCTAGGGAACTGTTCTTTCTCCACTCCCTATCCATGTGACTCTAAGTGTGGCTTGACCCACTTCCTGATGTGGAGACACAAGCATGTTCCATATTCCTGTCCAGAGATAGATTTGGGAATGGGTGTGTGATCCAAATCAGACTAGATCAGAGTTATCCCAGGACATTCATTGGACCTGTGGAGAAAGAACACTCTCTGCTGTGGTTGCTAAGCAGGTGGGGTGCATACCCGAATATGCAGGCTCCCCAGCAGAGAGCCTCATCTAGAATGAAGCTGACCTAGAGCAAAGACAAAAGAAAGGCTGAGATGGACTGGACCTGGGTGGTCATCTTGCATTCTGGGCCCAGCCATGTGTGGGCAGATGTGTGGACTTGCAGATGTGTGATCCCCCAAACCTCCAGCACAATTTTCACACCAGCTCATCAGGAAGAGTTGAGTAGCTGTTAATCACATGATACTCTCTGACTTTCATCTGCTGTTGTTCTTGGTAAATAACATCTTTGGGAAGCCCATTGGAGGAAGGGTGTCTGGCAGGGTAGGATCCAGGTGTGCTTGGGTTCCTGGTCATAATCTCAATCATGATACTGTCAAACGTCATCAATACTCTCAGCAGAGGCCATGCAATCATTTCCCCACTTGTATTCAGATAGGATTTAAGTTCTCTAAGAGCTTTTGTCAACAACATCAATGGTTATTTGTAGGGTCATGTCATTGGCTTTCTTATCCATGAAACTGTTAACTAACTGTGGCTACAAAACCTGAAAAAGGTGTGAAATGGAAACACCCAAACCTCTGTCTCCCATGATGTTTCTATACAACCAATTACTTGCAATCATCACAAAGGACTTTAACTTGAAATAAAACACCCTTTCCTTTATTCCTTAAAAAGTATGGTGACAGATGTGACAGGCTTGTGGTGAACACAGCATAACATATGGAGAAGTTGAATCACTATGATGTACACCTGAAACTAATGCAACATTATGTCAACTCTACTCAAATAAAAAAACCTTTTTTTTTTTTTTTTAAAGTACAGATACCAGGGTGCCTGGGTGGCTCAGTCAATTGAGTATCTGACTCTTGGTTTTGGCTTAGGTCATGATCTCAGGTTTGTGAGATCGAGCCCCCTGTCGGGATCTGCACTCAGTGGGGAGTCTGCTTGAGATTCTCTCTTTCCCTCTCCCTCTGCCCCTCACCCTGTTCATGCTCTCTCTCTCTCTTAAATAAATAAATAAATAAATCTTAAAAAAAAAATAAAGTACAGATACTATAGTCAGGCCTTTCTACTTATATAAAGTGCTAGTTGAACACCCCCCAGCTATTAAAATGACCAAATCAAACCCAAACTAACAGTCACATATCTGGCAAGAATGTGGAGCAACAGGAACTCTCGGTCATTGCTAGTGGTAATGCGAAATCCACTTTGGATTTTGGTTTGGCAGTTCTTACAAAGTTAAATACAGACCTACCATATGATCAAGTAATCACACTTGGGGGTTGAAAACATGTTCACACCCAAACCGGCACATTGAATGTTGATAGCAGTTCTATTCACAATTTCCCAAACTGGTAGCAACCAAAATGTCCTTCAAGATGTGGTTGGATAGCTGTGGGTCATCCATACAATTGAATATTATTCAGAAGCCACAGATATGGAGAAAACTTAATGCATATTGCTAAGTGGAAACGCCAGTTTGGAAATGTTACATAGTGAATGAGTCCAACTATATGACACTCTGGATAAGGCAAAAGTATAAAAACTATAAAAAGATCAATGACTGCTGGAGGTTTGAGGGTGAGGGACAGGGAGGGAGGAGTAGGTTGTGCACAGATTTTCATGGCTTTAGTGAAACTATTATTTATGACAGTGTGACCATGCATTTGTGGACAACTACAACGGTAAAACACCAAGTGTGAACCATAGTATAAACTAGAAACTTTAATCAACTGTAACAAATGTACCACACTAATACAATGTATTAATTAATACTAGGGGATACTATAAAGGGAGGATTTTTATGGGAACTCTCTGTACTCTCTACTCAGTGTTTTGTTCTGTAAATCTAAAACTGTTTTAAAAATGAGGAATTAACTTTAAAAATGTTATTGATAACTCAAACAATTTATTCAATAATTCAGAATGTTGATGAAAGTCTTGCAATAAAATGCAAAACAATAATTTAGGTGTGTGATGTGATTTGAAATATTAAATTTTATAACAAGTAATAAGCAATCAGATTAAAAGCTTTATAAATAGATTAGTATTTCCAAATACACATGCAGTTAAATTTGCTGAAAAATATGTTTCCCAATTTCTAGTCTCTTATGCAGCTCTAAACACAATTGCAGAGAATTGTGTCAATCAGAAATTAACTTTGAATATTGAAAAGAACAAAAATGTTATGGCACAGCTAACATTTTAGTGTGAAAATCTGTATGTACATGGCAAAAATCAATGCATGCATTGATAAACACATATTTTGTAAGTAAAAAATAAAATAAAATAAAGCATTAGTTAAGGAAATAAGCTTATTAACTCTCTACTCCATTCACATAGCATACAAAATATTAAACATTGTACAAAAGAAACTTAAACACCCATCTAAACGTTCAAACCACCCATCAAACGTTCGACCATGCTTTGGTGCTCCTGGCTACAAAATGTCATTTAAAATAAAAATGACAATACATATGGAAACATATTTCTTTCTTTCTTTTTTTTTTTTTTTTTACCATTAACTTGTTTTAATGTTTCTTCACAAATGGTGAAAAATACTAAAGTACAGACAAGGAATAATCATAATGTTGTGGCCAACATTATAAATATGGAATTATAAATTTAAACATTTTCTGGTTTAAAAAATAAATCTGGTAGTCAATGAAGCTCTGCGGGGTCTCCGCGTCTAGTAGGGCCAGTCTCTGCGTTCCTGACGGTGCTCGCCTTTATCCATTTTTCCAGGTCCTCCGCACCTGCCTCTTCTTCCTCCCATCTGTTCCATCAAAGGTCCAGGGGGCCCACCAGGGCCGCCCCGTCTTCCTCCACCAAAGCCACCTCGGTCCATGCCCCGGCCACCACGGAAGCCCCCTCTGTCTCCACCACGGCCACCTCTGAACATACCACCGGGACCACTGCGGTCCATGAGGCCGCCTCTTCCGCCCTGCATGCCACCAGGGCCGCCTCTGCCATGGTCACCACCCGGGGGTGGAAAGGGTGGTGGAAGGAAGCCTTCAGGCTTTGGGGCCTTACACTGGTTGCATTCTGTTCTCCAGGCGAAGTTCTGGTTTCCACACCCCGGATTGGGGCACTGCCAGTCTCCAGCTCGGTGCTGGACATTTCCTTCTCCGGATGGGTTCCCTCGGGAACCCCGAGGCCCTCTTGGGGGAAAGCCACCTCTGTCTCCTCCACGGCCTCCCATACGACCCATGGGGCCCCCAGGACCTCCTGGGCCCCCTGGACCTCCACGAAGTGGCGGCGGCATCCTTCTGCCCTCACGGGGAGGCATACCACCCCACATGCTGTTCATCGGAGGCTTCTTCCGAGCAAGAGAAACCTTAAGTTTGCTCCCTTGAAAATCTTTCCCATCAAACCACTCCACAGCAGCCTTGGCAGTTGGTGGGTCTTCATAGGACACTGGAGCATCACCTTTGGGCTTTCCTGTTTCCTTGTCCAAGTAGATATGGATCATGGGTTGTCCGGTTCTCTTGTTCATCGTAACAACTCCACACTGCTTAAAGAAGTCTGCCAGATCATCTAGAGTCACATTGTCATTTAAGCCTTGCACGTAAATTGCACTGTTGTCAGAGTCTTCATCTGGATCTACAGGTGGGCCTAGATCAAGATCTGGTCCTTCGTCCATGGGTCCACCAGGCTTACTGAAGCCACCTCGCTCTCCAGCGCCCATTCCACCGCGTCCTCCTCCCCGCCCACCTCTGCTCATGCCTCCACGATCCAATCCCCCTCTTCCCCTGCCCCGGTTATCAGGGCCACTCATGCTCCAGTTTTCTCCTGGTCCGGAAAATCCTCCAGACTGCTGCCCATAGCTGCTTTGTTGACCATAGCTACTCTGCTGTCCATAGCTGCTCGGCTGCCCATAGGGGTTCTGCTGAGAGTCACTGCTCTGATCATAACTGGTCGGCTGTGTAGAGGAGTAGCTGGTAGGAGGATAAGATGGTGGTGCTGTGACTGGCTGCATGGGGTAGCTCCCAGGTACCTGGGGTAACTGTAGTTGCTCTGTCCCTATCCTAGGCTGGGCTGGTTGTGACCCCCTGTGCTAGATTGAGGTTGACTAGTCTCAGCGGGTTTGTTACCATCCTGCGGTCTTGCAGGTGCGGTGGCTGCTGGCGGCTGCCCATAGGCTGGGTAAGCAGGCTGAGGGCCATAAGCAGACTGAGCTGCACAGGAGGCCTGGGTGGTAGTGGCCGTAGCCGTGGTCGTTCCGTGAGCACCAGTGCTGTCCCCCTGGACAGGCTGACTGTATGCCTGGGGGGCAGCTGGAGCAGTATAACCAGCAGGAAGCTGTCCATGAGAAGCTGCAGAGGCGGTCTGCCCATAGGTCGCAGTGGTCTGAGCCTGCTGTAGCTGACATCAGTGGGCTGTCCATAGGTGCCGTAACTTTGCTGCCCATATGCCTGGGTGGTCTGTGCGTATCCTTGAGTGGGCTGGGCGGTGTATGCACTGTATCCCTGCTGGGCTGCCGCTTGGCTGTAGGTACTGTAATCCGTGGACGCCATTTTCTCTCCTTCCTTCTCGTTCTCTCTGGAAACATATTTCTAGTAAGATTTTTCAGTTGTGATGGCATAAATCCTCCTGCTGTAAATTATACCACACTTTGCCTGCAGGTGTAAAGAAATCATCACTGCCCTGGAAATGACTCTAGATTTAATTTTTGTATTTCTATGTGAACTCCTGAGGGGGACATATATTTCTTCAAGAATGAGAACATTTCCCTGTGCAAGCTCTCCCTTCCCCAGGCTCTGTGCAATATTCTGTGCCCCATGGCAGGAATAATGCTTAACCATTAGCATCGTAAACCGCTTAAAGGACAAGGTGTGGGTGATTTGAAAGCTATAGCAAGTGGAACTGAGCAAATTAGGCCTGTCCCTGTTGTTTCATCTTTATTTATTAATGGCAATAATTCTGTCCTAATCTTTTGTACAGCACTTTATCCATTATGTGGCGTGTAAAGCTCTTTAAATGATTTTCATTGATGTCTTCCTTCTTCTGCACAGGCGAAAGGTTCAGATGGCTCTAATTCCTTAGTGTGAGGCCATGAGATCAGCAGATTCTTGTGGTTCCTGATGTTAAGGGGTCTGTAGAGACTCATCCTCTCCTCCCCAAAACAAGAACTTATAACTGATGAAGTAAGCCATAAACAGATCAAAGCAGACAAAAGTAATGTCATTTTAAAGTTTTCAGGCATTGAGGATGGTGACCTTAATTTTGTTGAAAGTATGAGCATGATTCAAGACAAAACATGCCAGTCAGAAGAAGTGGGGCCAGTCACCCCTGTAAGCCATGAAAAGTCAAGTCAGTAGAGGATATGGGCACTGCTCATCCAAGCTCTGCGGCCTGGGGAGGAACCAGCGGGGTTTCCAGTTGTCTGGTCCCACTGCCCTAGCCATAGCTTTTGAGGGGATGGATAAAAGGGAGGAGAGCTGATGGACTCATTGGTAAGACCATTTCTACTAAGCATTTCTCTCCTCCCCTCCCTGGTCCATTGCCATGGTCACCTAGCAACCTTCTGATTATGAGGTGGCTTTTCATGTGCATGTTCTAACTATAGGAAGAAATGGTTTGGCCATATACATTTTGAATTTTAGTATTCTTCTGATATAATTTCTTACTTTTAAAACAATTTTATTGTGGTAAATATACACATATTATTTACAACTTTAACCGCTTCTATGTGTAACAGTTCAGTGGCATTAGGCATAGTCACAGTGTTGAGTTACTATCACTAACTACTATCCATTTCTAGAACTTTCTTATCAGCTCAAACAGAAACTCGGTCCCCATTAAATACCAACTTCCCATTTCCTCTCCTCTTAGCCCCTGACAAGGACTACTCTTTGTTTCTCTGAATTTACCTATTCTAGATACCCCAAATAAGTGGAAAATGAGTATTTGTCCCTTTATCTGTCTTCTTTCATTTGGCATAATGTTTTCACCCGTGTTGTAGTGTGCATCAGAGTTTTATTCCTTTTTTTAAAAAGGTTTTTAAAGATTAATTAATTAATCTTTAAAAAAAGACTATTTATTTGACACAGAGAGCGAGAACACAAGCAGGAGTGGCAGGCAGAGGAAGAGGGAGAAGCAGGCTCCCCACTGAGCAGGGAGCCCCACATAGGGCTTGATCCCAGGACCCCAGGATCATGACCTGAGCTGAAGGCAGACGCTTAACTGACTGAACCACCCAGGCACCCCTAAATTAATCTATTTGAGAGAGAGAGAGAGAGAGGGAGGAGCAGAGGGAGAGGGAAAAGCAGATTCCCCCTGAGCAGGGAGCGCAACACAGGGCTCATTCCCAGGACCCCGAGGTCATGACCTAAGCCAAAGGCAGATGTTTAACCAACTGAGCCACCCAGGTGCCCCTAGAGTTTTATTCCTTTTTAGGGATGAATTATATTCTATTGTAGCTATACTACGTTTTGTTCACTCATTAATCTGTTGATGGGCATTTGGGTTGTTTCCACCTTGTGAATAATGCTGCTGTGAACAGGGGTGAACATGTATTTGAGTCCCTGGTTTCTATTTGTTTGGGTGTATACTTACAAGTGGAATTGCTAGATCCCATGGTAATTCCATATTTAACTTTTGAGAAACTGCCAAAATGTCCTCCATAGTGGCTGTGCCATTTTGCATTCCTACCAATAATGCAGAAGGATACCAATTTCTACATATCTACACCAACACTTGTTCTTTCCTTTTCTTTTTTTTGGGGGGAGGGCAATAGCCATTCTAATGCATGTGAAGTGGCATCTGATTCTGGTTTTGACTTGTATTTCATGAATGATTCCTGATCGTGAGCATCTTTTCATGTGCTTATTGGCCATTTGTGTATCCTTTTTGGGGAAATGTCTACTCAAGCCCTTTGCCCACTTTTTGAAATTGGGTCAAATGATGTAATTTCATAATGTAAATTTGTGTAAGTTCTTCTTTGGTTATCTAATTCCTGGGCAACCTGGTGTCGGGAGAGACTGTGTTGGTCATGTTGACGCCAGAAGCTGGGCATAGCAGTTATTTCTATTATGAATTAAAATTTCCTTGTGCTTTATACTACAGTTTTCTGAGCCTGGCTAATGTGACTTCATGCCTAGGACATGGCTTTGCTCTTGAGGTGCTGGCAAATCAAGATTCCGAATGTGTGAGGCAGAGGTCTAAACCCAGATCATTGTTTATTCACCACTGTGATGAAAACACCCCCTGAGGTTTTGGGGAGAGAGCTATTGGCTCTCCTTGTTTTCTGGGTTTATCTAAAAGCTGCACTATCTAGTATAGTACCCACTAGCCACATGTGGCTTTAAAACTAGCCTTTAAAATTAAATTGAAATTAATTAAAATTAGATAAAATGAAAAAGTCATTCCTATAGTCTCACCAGCCATCTTTCAAACACTTGGTAGCCACACATGGCCAGTGTCTACTGTATTGAACAATACTGATATGGAATTTCCCCCATCATCTCAGAAAGTGCTATTGCACGATGATGATTTAGGAATTCACGCATTTAAAAATGAGCATTGGAAACGGATAAGTAAAACAATCATAATAATAAAAAATGACTGGAGCAGTAAGGAAAATGTTAGAACAGAATTGAAATAGATAGTATAACTACTAGGAAAGAGTCCACTAGTATTCTCTTATAGAATCATTTGTAAAAATGAGCTTAATTACCAGCAATGTCCGCAATAGCCAAACTGTGGAAAGAGCCAAGATGTCCATCGACAGATGAATGGATAAAGAAGATTGTGGTATATATACACAATGGAATATTATGCAGCCATCAAAAGGAATGAGATCTTGCCATTTGCAACGATGTGGATGGAACTGGAGGGTATTATGCTGAGCGAAATAAGTCAATCAGAGAAAGACATGTATCATATGACCTCACTGATATGAGGAATTCTTTTTTTTTAATTTTTTTTATTTTATTTTACTTTTTTTATTCTTATGTTAATCCCCATACATTACATCATTAGTTTTAGATGAAGTGTTCCATGATTCATTGTTTGTGCATAACACCCAGTGCTCCATGCAGAATGTGCCCTCCTCAATACCCACCACCAGGCTAACCCATCCTCCCACCCCCCTCCCCTCTAGAACCCTGTTTGTTTTTCAGAGTCCATTGTCTCTCATGGTTCATCTACCCCTCCGATTTCCCCTGCTTCATTCTTCCCCTCCCACTACCTTCTTCTTCTTTTTTTTTTTTCTTAACATATATTGCATTATTTGTTTCAGAGGTACAGATCTGAGATTCAACAGTCTTGCACAATTCACAGCGCTTACCAGAGCACATACCCTCCCCAGTGTCTATCACCCAGTCACCCCATCCCTCCCACCCACCCCCCACTCCAGCAACCCTCAGTTTGTTTCCTACAATTAAGAATTCCTCATATCAGTGAGATCATATGATATATGTCTTTCTCTGTTTGACTTATTTCACTCAACATAATACCCTCCAGTTCCATCCACGTCGTTGCAAATGGCAAGATCTCATTCCTTTTGATGGCTGCATAATATTCCATTGCATGATATGAGGAATTCTTAATCTCAGGAAACAAACTGAGGGTTGCTGGAGTGGAGGGGGGTGGGAGGGATAAGGGTGGCTGGGTGATGGACATTGGGGAGGGTATGTGCTATGGTGAGCGCTGTGAATTGTGCAAGACTGTTGAATCACAGATCTGTACCTCTGAAACAAATAATGCAATATATCTTGAGAAAAAAAAAGAAGAAGATAGCAGGAGGGGAAGAATGAAGGGGGGGAAATCGGAGGGGGAGACGAACCATGAGAGACGATGGACTCTGAGAAACAAACTGAGGGTTCTAGAGGGGAGGGTGGTGGGAGGATGGGTTAGCCTGGTGATGGGTATTGAGGAGGGCACGTTCTGCATGGAGCACTGGGTGTTATGCACAAACAATGAATCATGGAACGCTACATCTAAAACTAATGATGTAATGTATGGTGATTAACATAACAATAAAAAATTTTAAAAATGAGCTTAATTACTAGTGTCATTGGCATCGGGTCAATGTGAGCACTGAGTAAAGATTAACAGCCTAGCACGTAGTAAGCATCATATAAGCATGTGACGAGCACAGAAATGCACTGTTCAGATCTCTTGGTCGCGGGAGTGCAGTTGAATGGGTTATGCACACTGAGGCCAAGCTTCTTGTGGACCACCGCCAGCCAATAGCAGAGTGTGGCAGGGTGTTAGTGCCCCAGGGGGCTTTGACTTGTGGACTCCCCAGTGGTCTGGTCCAAACCTTTTGGAACTGCGATGCACTCCAAAACTCTTCCTTATCCAATCCATCCGCCTTCCTTCTCTCTTTCCACAGGTGTCAAACCTACAGCATGGTCTGAAGGCTGTCCCATCTCCATCTCCTCCTATTCTTTCCCCCAAGACACCTTTTGCATGTCTAATCTTGTCTTAGCATTGGCTATGTGGCAGACCCGAACTGAAGAAAATGCCTGCTTCTGTGAGCATTACTTTCTAGGGGACATATCTTCATCTTTTGCCACATGAAGCTTTCAA